CTCTCCCCACAGAGTATTTCTTCCCAGCAAGATCGTTAGAGGACCTGTCTCCCCGCAGAATTATTCATTTGCCAAGTTTATTCCCCAACGGAGTTATCTTCTCCTACCGGTATTCTTGCAAACAACATCCCCAGTGGAAGCAAAGACCTAATTGCCAACATCAGCCCAGGAGTGACTTCCCGGCATCCGTCAAGGATTTACTTTCCTAACGAAAACATACATTCATAAACATCGCACCTCCATACATCATTATAGCATGCATATACGCATCATATCTTACAAATCTCATTTATGTTGAGAACATCATTGCTTGATCCATATCATGCATTGCATATGACTGACCTTTACCTTTCAGGAAAGATTCAGTTAAATTCTCAATCATATTTCAAGACCTAGACCGGTTCAGTTAATCGACTCCAAAGATTTCTTATCCAGTCCAAGGCCTTCTCTAGTCCAGCTAAATCGACCCCAAACATATTTTTCTGATGAAGACTCAGTAGAAGCCATTCCAGGTTTTTCTCAAACGTCCGCTTTTGAGATTATAATTTCCTATGGTTCTCTCCCCAATGTTGCGGAGACGATAATTCCATCCCAGGTTTTTCTCAAACGTCCGCTTTTGAGATTATAATTTCCTATGGTTCTCTCCCCAATGTTGCGGAGATGATAATTCCATTCCAGGTTTTTCTCAAACGTCCGCTTTTGAGATTATAATTGCCTATGGTTCTCTCCCCGATACTGCGGAGATGGTAATTCCCACCAAGATTTTCTCAATGATTGTTGCTGAGGTTAAAGTCACCCAAGGTTCTCTCACCGTTCATGCTGAGGTAGTAACCACCCCTGGTTCATTCATCATCTTTTGAAGCTCCAGATCCAGCTCCTGTAACCAGTCAGGACACATCTACACAAAGAATTTGAAAACCAGCTCCTGCAACATGTCAGGTACTCTTTTTTTCTTTTGCAGGTATGCAAGTTCTCGCTAAGGAATCTCTTATGCGATTGACATCCAGATGGCATCTATAAGCCCATTCACCCTCCAGTATCTCTTAGCATGGCATCTATAAGCCCATCATCCTATCCATCAATCTCCAAATGGCATCTATAAGCCCATTTCCACCATCACACTGCTACTATGTGAGTGCAAATTTCTGGGCACTCTAGTGTTCAATCATCTTCCACCTTCGGATTACGAAAGGCACGTCAGCCAATCTGCATCCTCAGGTCTAAGAAGATTGAACAGGGGCAACTGTTGTACCCCAAAATTTGCCCTCCCATATTCTTCAATAAATTGCCAAGTCATGCTTCAAAATTCCCCAAAGGGTTGCACAGTACAAGAGCCTCCTAAACAGTCAAAATTAAGGTTTTGGTTCTGATCAAGAAAATGAAGTTTCCAAGGGTCTAATCAAGTCTCACATGCCTACAAATATGGTCAAGCATCCTCATGTCAAGTTTCAAGACTTTCAGTACAAAATTGCACAGTCAAAACCCTAATTGCACTACAGTTAACTGTAGGGGCAAAATGGTCATTTGGCAGTCAAAAGTTCAAATTTTTGGTCAACATATTATTTTGAGGCCACAAACATCATTTGATCAATGCTTGATCATGATTCTCAAAGCTTGGCTCAAAAATCATCAAGATGCAAAAGTTTCCTTATTTGGACAGTTGAAAAAGTCAACTGTAAATTGACCAGGGCATAACTTTCACATGGATTATCAGAAAAATTCCATCCAAAGCTCATTTTGAAGAGAAAGACATTTCCTACAACTCCTATTCATACTTCAAGTCCAAGAAATGCTCTCACAAAAAGTTATCAATTTCAACATTATAGGTCATTTTCAAAAGTCAACAAAAAGGGACTTTAAGTCAAAGGCCATAAATTGAGATTGGTAAATCAAAATGACATGGGACCAAAGGCATTGGTTAGAGGACTCAAAGAAATTTCCAAAATGTCCAAGAACATGAGCAAAGCTTAAAAATTGAGCAAGTTATGCCTTGTGGAAGTTGGGAAATTTTTGGATATTTTGAAAAGTCAACATTGATTCAAATGACCTAAAATTGCTAATGGGCCTATTTTTCTTCCACAATTCATCATCCAAGGCATGTTCACGACCACTTGGCCCAAAGGGAAGTTTTTATTCATTTTTTATTTATTTATTTGAATTTTATTAATAATAATTCATTTAAATCAATTAAATACATGAAAAATATTTAACCTAAGTTTTTCAATCTTTTTGTGCATGAAATATACTCAATAATTCGTGCATGATCAGATATGGAAGGAATTGAATTGATTGGATATGATTGAGAGCAAAAGTGCATGAAAAATATTGAAAAAAAGATCTTGAAAAATCAAATCTTCCAAGCCATGAATGCCAAGGATTTTGATTGCTTTCTTTGACCTAATTCACTCATACATAAGCATAGAACACAACCCTAATGCCATTAACCACTAAGCTGCACGGAAAACACCATTGGCAAACTTGAAAATTATCAAAAAATCTCAAAACTGAAAACAGGGTTAGAGGTCGTTTCAAGCCACAAAACTCTTTCCATTGCATTCCTAGGACATCAAGCAACCTTCCTGGATCAAAAGCATCAATCCTAACCCTTTGAATCACTGTACAGAAGCCAAGCTTTCTTCACTTTTTCTCATAATCGTATTTTACATTCTATGCATATTCATGGCATTTTATTTATAGATTCATACTCAGTGATGTGTTTTAAAGCTAACCATATGATTTGATTGGATTTTCATGCACTGTATGCAAAGATGCCATGGTCGATATTTAGGGTTTTCAGAACCTCAAATTGGGGGTTTTAAAATAAGGAAAAATTGGAGCACAAGACTTGGACCACTGAAACAAACACGATGAGACGATCATGAATCTATCCTCGCGCTCAATTTATGAGCATCCAATGGCTATTCTCTATTTTCCCTAATGATCCCTTTTAGAACGGTGTAAAAACCGTTGCCTATGTTTGTTATATTTTCAGGAAAATAAACCAAGGAAGAAGAAGGATGCGTGGCCATCAATGATTGGCTGGTTCAAAATCTCGCGCGAAAAAAAGCAGCACTAACGCGTTTTGTTTTATTATATTTATTTGTTATATTACTTACAGATAAGCAAGACAGCAGGGTTGGCAAGCGCGTTGGCTGGTAATCTCTAGGACCTGGGTTCGAGCCCCAGGTCCTCACCCCCTTTCACATTATTTTTCAATTAATGGTTCTATGCTGGTTATGTCCTGAAGACGCACCATACGCTCCTCCATCAAGCCATCCACGTGTTCTCCACTATCAATCCAAGGAACACAATCTGAAGAATAGGGTAGACTCCAGTCAATGCACCACACGATGCCAAAAAAAAGTCAACAAGGCCATGCTGATTTGGGCTCAAAATTAATGGGCTTCACCTCCACTTTGGGGACAGATACCCCCCTAGATTTGCCATTTTATTTTTTTTCTTTTACATTATTTCTATTTTTTTTTAATTATTGTTTTTAATTAATTTATTATTTTCATAATATATAAAAAACACATCAAAAAAATCAGAAAAGACAAGAAATAATAAATATTTTATTTTAGTATTTTTGTAAATAAATTGCATATAATTAAATTTAGTTATTAAATTAGGATTAATAGTAATGTTTTCATAATAAAAATCTAAAAAATGGTAGAATTAGGGTTTAATTAATTTTTTATATCTTTTCATTTTCTTTCATAATAATTAAATATTAAATACTTATTTTTGTAATTAAATTGCATGTAAATTAATTAGGGTTAGTTTTAGGTCAAAATTTAATCTTTTCTTAACAAATAAAAACAACTAGAATTAGGGTTAGCATTTATTGCATTTAATTCTTTTTCCCATTAAAATCATAAAATACCAAAAATATAAAAAAAAAACAATTTCTTTTCTCTCTTAATTAATTAATTCCATCATTAATTTAATTTTGCAACGCCCTCGTTTAATTCTTATTTAATTCGCATATTTATTTTTATTCTTTTTAATACTCATGTATCTCTCCCAAAGCCATGTAATGTTATAATTTCTTGCACTTTGTCTTTTCATTAATTCTTTATTTTTCTGTCAAATCGGGTTCAAGAAATTTTGGCGATGTGGACCCGCGCCTTTTGTAATAGTTTAGAATCTTTTACTTGTCGCAATTTTTAACTGTTAATCAAGGCATGAAAGAATGTATGGACAAAAATAAAAACAAACGTTAGATCACCAATGACATGACAAAAGACAAAAATATCTGAAAACGACACACAAAACACACACCACCCCTAGGGTACGCCTCACTGTCGCCTTGCCCTTCGAAAGGTGATCGTCGAGTAGAGGATGTCTTAGTAAGTCCTCATGATCCGGGAACCTGGCATGAGGGTAGCTTCTAAGGTGTCTTCCCATTGCTCTGGTGATCACCATGTCCCGAACCTCGAATTGACCCGAACACCTCCAACGGTGGTGCTACCTACCTCTCAATGGTGGGATGGCACTACTTTAAAGGACATTTACACAGACGAATTCCTTAGGGTAGGTAGGTTCTCGTAGATACTTGCTCTAAATTCAAAACAAATTCAAAAATACTTTTCACACCGACACCTTTTCAAAAAGCTTTCGAAAGCAATTTTTCAAACACTCTTGAGGACCGATACAAGAGTCGAACTGGAATTTTCAAAGAAACTTTTTTTTAAACCCACAGTTGAAAAGCAAACAAACTATTTTGAAAACACAATGAGCAGGTATCTAAGAGCCCATGGATAACCATGGATAGAAAGGGTGCTAACACCTTCCCTTTCTATAACCTACCTCCCGAACCGAGAGCAATCTCTATAAGGATTTTTTCTGTGCTTTTGTCCTTTCCATTTGGAGAAAATAAAAGACGGTGGCGACTCTTGCTTACTGCGACATTTCGCGAACCAGCGTTAAACAGTCAGTTCCAGATCCACCGATCACAGCTACATACTGTCTATGGTGAGGAGGCGCTAATGATTAGCTCTATGGATACTTACAGGTACGTGGACGTGGAGGAGGATGCAATATGTACACAATTCCAAGGTCTCGAGGTAGCTAATTCTCTTAGGGTGGATGATGTTAAGCCTAAGATGGCCAGTGCAAATTCTGCAGATATGGTTTCGTTTAGAGATGCTCAGAGGGCAGTAACTGATAAAATTGGTCAAAAATGGGGAAGTATAGTGGAATTGCCTACTAATACTGATTGTCAAGGTCTGGATTATTCTTATTCAGGTGCACAGAGCAAGAGGAAGATCAGTGAGCACAAAATCGCTTTCTGAAGCGGAGGGATCATTAGTGTCGTGCTGGAAAATCAAGAACAAGAGGCGCCTAACTTTGTCACAGCCATTGATGAAGGAGGCCTGGCCCAATGCAATTGGACATCCGAAGATTTACCTTTTGTGATGAGCTATACAGAGTAAAACTGTTGAACAAGCATTTTCATTCTTTAATTCTTATAATAAATCATGATCCACCTATGCCCAAAGGTGGAATCGTCTTTCATTTGTAATGGGCCATAGCATGTATGCAATATCAAATCATTGAATAAGAAGCACTTTTTGTTTTCAATTGTGTCTTTTTATTTTTGCTTATTTTCAGAAAATGTTAAAGAAAAAACCTTTTCAAAATAAATAAAAAGAATTTTCAAAAACAATTTGCATGTGTCTACTATATTCTGCCAGTCTCTAAAAATCCAAATGCACGTGCACATTGATAAAAACAACCAATACTACGAGCAATGACCCTGCACCCTCACCCAGTTTGGAACATCCAGTGCATGAAGTGGGGGATGAGGAAGTGTGTGAAGATATTCCAGAGGAAATCCAAAGGCTGCTCGAGAGAGAAGGCACAACTCTCCAACCGTACAAAGAACCCGTGGAATTGATCAACCTGGGTACCGAAGAGCAGAAAAGGGAGATTCGTATAGGGGCAAAGCTCGGTGAAGACGTGAAAGCGGAGCTCACAACATTGTTGAGAGAATATATAGATGTATTCGTCTGGTCGTATCAAGATATGCCTGGTTTGGATACTGATATTGTTGAACATAAGCTCCCGCTTAAGCCAGAGTGTCCTCCGGTCAAACAAAAGTTGAGAAGGATGCACCCAGACATGGCCTAAAAGATATAGGATGAGGTTCAGAAGCAAATTGATGTTGGCTTTCTGGAAATAGCTATATATCCTGAATGGATCGTGGACATTGTACCAGTGCCAAAGAAGGATGGCAAAGTACATATGTGTGTGGACTATAGAGATTTGAACAAGGCTATCCCGAAGGATGACTTCCCTCTACCAACCATTGATCTACTGGTTGACAATACTGCTAAGTTCAAGATCTTCTCTTTTGTGGATGGCTTTTCTGGATACAATCAGATCAAAATGTCTAAGTGTGACATGCAAAATACGACCTTCATAACGCCCTGGGGAACATTTTGTTATCGAGTGATGCCCTTCAGTTTGAAGAACGCAGGTGCCACCTACCAAAGAGCCATGACGACGCTGTTTCATGATATGATGCATCGTGAGATAGAGGTATACGTCGATGATATGAATGCTAAGTCCCAGACTGAGGGGGACCTTATCTAACATCTGCTAAAGTTGTTCAAGTGTTTGAGAAAATACAAACTCCGCTTAAACCCAAACAAGTGCACATTTGGGGTCCGCTCTGGGAAATTATTGGGTTTCATTGTCAGCGAGAAAGGAATTGAGGTCGATCCTGACAAGGTGAAAGTTATTCGGGACATGCCAGCTCCCAGAACTGAAAAGCAGGTTCGAGGTTTTCTTGGTCGTTTAAACTATATATCCAGGTTTATTCATAACATGACCGCAACTTGCGCTCCTATCTTCAAGCTGTTGAGAAAGGACCAAGCAATTATCTGGAATGAGGAATGCCAAGAAGCTTTTGACAGCATCAAAGAGTATCTGCAAGAGCCTCTTATTTTGATGCCTCTGGTTGAAGGACTCCCTCTAATAATGTATTTGACTGTGCTTGACAACTCTATGGGTTGTGTGTTGGGACAGCAAGATGAGACCGGTAAGAAAGAGCATGCAATATGCTACTTGAGTAAGAAGTTCAATGATTGTGAATCAAGATACTCAGCGCTAGAAAGGACCTGTTGTGCATTGGCATGGGCCGCGAAGCGTCTGAGACAATATATGGTCAATCATACTACTTGGTTAATCTCCCGAATGGATTCGATTAAGTATATTTTTGAGAAACCAGCTTTGACAGGTCACATTGCTAGGTGGCAGATGTTATTGTCAGAATACGATATCGAGTACCATGCTCAGAAAGCGATCAAAGGTAGTATATTGGCAGATTATTTGGCGTCTCAACCGATAGAAGAGACCGAGTCGGAGGAATTCAAGTTTCCTGATGAAGAAGTGTTTGCTTTCACAATGAAATATTATGATGAACCTCCACTCGATGAGGGTCCTGAGCCTGGTTCCCGATGGGGTATGGTATTTGATGAAGTTGTGAATGCTCAAGGCCAAGGCATAGATGCTGTGATTATTCATTCCAATGGTTCATATTATCCTTTCACTGCTAGGCTGGAATTTGAGTGCACTAATAACATGGCAGAGTATAAGGCCTGTATCCTGGGATTAGAGCAGTGCATTGATTTAAGGATCAAGTTCTTGGATGTATATGTTGATTCTGCTCTAGTGGTTAATCAGATCAATGATAAATGGGAAACTCGTCATCCGGGCTTGATCCCTTACCGAGATTACGCTCGAAGAATTGCGACTTTCTTCACTGAAGTCCAATTTCACTATATTCACATAGAAGAGAACCAAATGGCTGATGCACTAGCCACCCTTGCATCAATGTATAAAGTTTGTAGACCTGGTGATACTCCATCCATCATTTTGAGAAAGCTTGATCGGCCAGCATATGTGTTCAATGATGAAGAGGTTGTTGCAGATACTAAGCCTTGGTTCTTCGACATCAAGCAATTTCTTGCTAAGAAAGAGTACCCGACTAGGGCATCAAAGAAAGACAAAAGGACCTTGAGAAGTTTGGCGTCCAATTTCCTCCTAGATGGAGAAGTCCTGTATAAGCGGAATTTCGACATGGTGCTGCTCAGATGCGTGGATAGACACGAAGCAAACCTGTTGATGGCAGATATACACGAGGGGACTTTTGGGACTCACGCCAGTAGACATTCAATGGCTCGTAAGTTGTTAAGAGTCGATTACTATTGGTTAATGATGGAAACCGATTGCTTTGAGTATGCCAGAAAATGCCACAAGTGCCAGATTTATGCAAATAGGATTCATGTGCCTCCTACTCCCTTGAACACTATTACTTCACCGTGGCCATTTGCCATGTGGGGAATAGATATGATCGAAATGATCGAGCCGAAGGCCTCTAATGGACACAGGTTCATCTTTGTGGTCATTGATTACTTTACAAAGTGGGTTGAAGCGGCATCCTACACCAACGTCACCAAGCAAGTTGTCGTCAGATTTCTCAAAAACAACATCATCAGCAGATATGGTTAGGGCTGCGCAACGGACGGATACGAATCGATCCGCATCCATTTAACCGGATATCCGTTCAAACGGATAGGAAAATACTCGATCCGTTATCCGATCCGTTTTGAACGGATTGGATACGGATAAATCCGCTGGCTAACGGATAAATCCGGCGGATATCCGTCATCCATCAGAGTTAAACAAAAAATTACTACTGTATCACAAATTCAGTATTACAAATAGGGCTGCACAACGGACACGGATCGATCAACATGAAATGAGAAACCCTAATTACATATTACAAATTCAACATGATTCAAATCCATAATACCATTATACATAGTGACATAAATTCAATACATAACACATGATTTAAATTCAAATGTACAAATCGAAAAGTAAATAAAACAACTTGTAGTCTTGTTCAACTTAATCAAGTAGAAATCCAGTCAACCATTTACTGACTCTTCATCATTAAGCCGCATTTGAGACAACTCTGAACAAATATAAACAAGAAATACATTAGCAATATAAACAACCAAATTCAAGAAGTTTAAAACACACAAAAGTAGTAAGTTACCATTATCAATCTCTTGAATTATTTCAAACTCCTCCTCATCCGTCAAGATACGTCCATGACGAATCCAATCTTGTGTGCATATCAAGGCCTCCGCGGTTGAAGGGGCCATTGAAGCTCTATAGTCATCAATCACACGACCACCAGTGGAAAACGCCGACTCAGATGCAACTGTAGATACAGGGATATCATATACATCCCGAGCCATTCTTGCTAAAACAGGAAAATCCCTCTTATGATCCTTCCACCACTCAAGAATTTGAAACTCACAAAAGTCATCTGCTTCTTGTTTATGTAAATCAGCAGCTAGGTATTTCTCAAGCTCGGTCTGTGCTGCAGTATTACCCATAGTAGCTTGCAAATTGTTATAAAATGACATATTCGGCTTCACCAATTTAGAAGATTTCTTACCCAACCCACCAAAGCCGGAAGAAGATGAACCCCCAGAATTCCTAGCTGCTGATTTTGGAATGACAGTAGTTTTCTTGTAGTCTTAGAACAACTCTTTCAAACAATCAAATGCCAAATCAGCCAAAGGCTTTCCCAACTCCTCGCCAAACATATGAATCAAACCTGCCTTCACCAAGTGAAATTTATATCGTGAATCGAGGATACTAGCAACATAAAATATCAAGTTAGCCCTCTCATTTTCCACTCCCCAATACTTGTCAAACTTCTCTTTCATTTTTTTAGCCAACTCCACCAAACACTCATTTTCACTTCCTATCCAATCCTTCAGGTAGTTATAAATAGTTCCAATTTCATCCATAAAAATATTAAAGGTTACATAAGAAGTACCAGATACACGAATGGTAATATCATGAAATGGTTCTAGAATTTTCTCCATAAAATCTCCAACAGCCCAATCTGACTCCTCTGGAAATGCATTTTCACCAGTAAGTGGAAAATCCCCACGCATAGAAGCATCCTCATCCATGTATCTCTCAAAAACATTCTTGTACAGATTAGCCCTATGCAACATCAAATATGTAGAGTTCCATCTTGTAGAAACATCACCTGCTAAAGACTTTTTTGTTTCTACGCCTTCTTTTCCAGCAAACTCATTGAACTTAAGCAATCTAGCAGGAGAACCTCGTACATACTTCACTAAGTGGCGTATCCGCTGAATTGACTCATTATGTTTTTTCAAGCCACATTTCACAATCAAATTTATTATATGAGCAACACATATAACATGCAAATATTTCCCACCAGCCACAGAAGTCC